CAGGAGCTCCCCATTCCCATCCTGCTGTCTCCTCTCTGTTCCCTGTCCCGCTGGTGTCTCACAATGCCCGGTGCAGTCACAGGTTTTACATTTTTGGCTTCCACAGAGTTCCACAGCCCCTGAGTTATTGATCTTGATTTTTTTTCATTTTCCCTGCGAATCAAGTGGTCTTTGTTGTGAGAAACGACGCCTAACTTCTTAAGGTTTTTAGAAGTTTATTAAACTATAACAAGGGACAAGGCAAAAGGAACAGTGCTCGGCGCCCACTCGCAGCCAGAGGTACGTCCAGAGGCACACTGCCCAAAATAAGAAAAGGCTTTGTATCCTCTTGGTAAACTGCTCCCCTGATAATGCATCCCCCGCATTCAGACACGTTCCGCTTTGCCAACACAGCTCCCACCCCCCCGTCCCGCCCTGCCGGATCTTGTGCAGCGCTTCGGGCTTCGACTCCCCACAATGGTCAGAGATCAGCATTACAGCTTTCGACAGGAACACAGTACTCGTATTAGAAAAACTCCAACGCTTACAAAAAAACTTCCGGAAAATGACAGAAGGCGGAAGGATGCTCCTTGTGATCCCAACCCCTCTCCCGCCATCCAGAGGCACCAGACCCGCAGGGATTTGGGAAATCACTGCCGCCCAGAGCTGGGTGTGTCCCCAGGGATTAAACATGGTTCAGTGCAGGCAAGAGCTCCATGGAAACACCATGAAACTCATCTGCTGAGCCAAAGGAGATGGAGTTCATTCCCTGGGGCTGAGGCCATGAAGGTCACTCCATGGGGAATAGAGCTGGGGAACAGCACTGAGCCCAGCTGCACTGCTTGGAGCCATGTGGATCCAGGAGGGAGGAGGAAAGCCATGCTCCAATGTGCTCCCTGCAGAGCATCCCACAAAAATCACCCAAGGCAATGCCCCTGCTCCCTTCTCCTGCAGGAATACAGCATCACAGGGAGGGTGATCCTGTGGCTATTTATTCGTCAGGTGACTCAAGGAATCCCTCAGGCTCTCTGTTAAAGTCCTTCAGCAGAGCAGTGGAAGGGATCAACAGGCTCAGACCAATGTGTCCCTGGTAGCACCATAACTGTTGTAATTTGTTTCTTTCTGCTTCTCAAAGACCCTCTGGAGGGAATCCCTGAGGGCCCCCACTGTACAGTGCTTCCAGCAGCTCGCCATGGAGCTGGACCTCCAGGACCTCCCCATGGAGTTATCTGTCCTCCAACTCCCCACCAAGAAGTAGATGAAGGGTTTGATGCTGCTGTTGATGCTGGCGAGCAGGAAAAAAAACTGGGATGGCACAAGGATGTAACCGAGCTGCTGCAGGAAATGGCAGAAGCTGAGGACGAGATTTAAGAACGCAGTGAGGTGGATAACGATGTCGCGCCTCTTGGGTTGCTGCTGCTGGGAGCCCCACTTGGCCTTAATAAAATCGATTGTGCTGGAAATGAGCAGGGGTGCAGCAAAGTGGAGCAGGATGACAGCGTACATGGAGATGAGAGCTGCCCAGCAGTGCTCCTGCTCTCTTGAGGGGCACAGGAATGTCACCGTGAGAATGACAGTGAAGAGAGCAAAGAAGGCCCAGTATTGGACACTTTTCACCACCAACCACAGGCGCTCGGGAAGGTCCCAGTGGCCACAGAGCTTGCAGAACATGTAGATATACTGCACATTGCTGATGGGAATCAGCTGGAATAACCCCCAGTAGTAGGAGACCACTGACAACTGGAAAAAGAAATTCTGGTACAGCAGGGGCACGATAGGAGAGCAGGACACGTCCTCCACCAGGAAGAGGAGGGCCGAGGGGACTGTGAAGAGAAGGAAGAGGAAGTCGGCAACAGCCAGGTTAAAGATGCGATAGTTACCATTTTTCACGCTGAGGAGGCTGATGACAGCTCCATTCCCGGCCAGCCCACAGAGGCAGATGAGCAGTGTCACACTGTGTATGGCCACGGTGGTGACATCTGTCTCACACAGATCGTGTCTTTCAGTGGGTGAGGCAGAAAATGGGGACACGGTGGTCACCTCCATGGATGGACACTGAGCAGGCAGTGGGATGTGGCTCCTGGCTGTGGTCAGAGTGGATGGGCAGTCAGTGCTTGGAGAAGCCAGGGATGGACCATGCAGCTCCTCAGCAGCTCCCTGCAGTGGGAAGGATTCAGAGGGGAGGAGTGAGATGTGCAGGGGAGGAGGGAGGTGGAAATTGTGGGGTGTGAGAGGGAGGTGGGAGGGTTGGGTTGTTCAGCAGGGAATGCAGAAGGGAAGCACAGGGCAGAGGAGGGGGGAGCTGGGGAGGGCACTGCGGTCACTGGGAGAGGGTGGCAGGAAGAGAGCAGCTGCTGCAGGAGAGGAAGGTGGGGTAGGGAGGAAGGAAACCATTCCACTGACATTCCAGTGCAGGGAAGAGCTCCCTGAAAACACCATGAAACTCATCTGCTGAGCCAAAGGAGATGGAGTTCATTCCCTGGGGCTGAGGCCATGAAGGTCACTCCATGGGGAATAGAGCTGGGGAACAGCACTGAGCCCAGCTGCACTGCTTGGGGCCATGTGGATCTAGGAGGGAGGAGGAAAACCATGCTCCAATGCAGAGCATCCCACAAAAATCACCTAAGGCAATGCCCCTGCTCCCTTCTCCTGCAGGAATTCATCACCACGGGGAGGGTGATCCTGCGGATATTTATTCAGCAGGAGGCTCAAGGAAACCCTCAGCCACTCTCCTGGGGTCCTTCAGCAGAACAGGAAGGGATCAACAGGCTGGGGGCATCATTTCTACTGGCAGTTTTATCTTTCTGCTCTTCAAAGACACTGTTGAGGGTGAGCTGGAGAGACTCCAGAGAGCAGGGTCTCCTGCAGCTCCCTGCCAAGAAGTAGATTAAAGGTTTGATGGTGCTATGGATGCAGGTGAGCAGGAAAACAACCTGGGAGGACACAAGGATGTAACCAAGCTGCTGCAGGAAATTGCAGAGGATGAGAAGGAGAGTGAAGAGCACAGTGAGGACGATAACAATGTCACACCTCTTGGGTTGCTGCTGCTGGGAGCCCCGCTTGGCCTTAATGAAGAGGATTGTGCTGGAAATGAGCACAGGTGCTACAAAGAGGAGCAGGATGATGGTGTACATGGAGATGAGAGCTGCCCGGCAGTGTTCCTGCTCATGTGACGGGCACAGGAATGTCACTGCAGGAATTATTGTGAAAAGAGCGTAAAAGACCCAATATTTGGCTCTCCACACCACCCACATCAGGCGCTCGGAAGTTGGCAGCAGCAGCAGTGCCTGCAGAGTGAGGCCACGTCCTTTTCTAAGCTGTGGGCTGTCAGCCGGAACAGCCCCCAGTAGTAGGAGACCACTGACAGCTGGAAAAGGAAACGCAGGTACAGCAGTGACACGATAGGAGAGCAGGACACGTCCTCCACCAGGAAGAGCAGGGCAGAGGGGACTGTGAGGAGAAGGAAGAGAAAGTCGGCAAGAGCCGGGTCAAAGATACCAGAGTTGCCACTTTCCAGGCTGAGGAGGCCGATGACAGCCCCGTTCCCTGCCAGCCCACAGAGGCAGATGAGCAGAGTCACACTGTGTGTGGACACATCGGTGACATCAATCTCACACAGATCGTCTCCTTCAGTGGGTGAGGTAGGAGATGGGGACACAGTGTTTCAGGACAATATTCAACAGTGTCTACTCTGACATTGTCTACCTAAATTTCCTGAGGGTTTCCAAATCTATGTTATTAGTTATGAAGATGACATAAATGGCAGAGGTTATATACAATAAGCTGGCAGCAAAATAAAGCCTCAATGAACAGCTGAGTGATTGTAATTCAGATGAGATGAAAAACTGTATAGTAATAAAAACCTAAAATGACAGGAAAATGTGAAACTGTACTATTCAATTTTAAAGCAAAATGTTCTTCTTCTTCTTAAGGCCCACAACAACCTTTTGTTTTTTCTCTTCAATGAGGAAAAAAGGCAGGAAGCAATATAAAAAGCAACTATCATTTTCTTCAGTCACTCTTCAGTGTACGTGCAGCCATGTATCCACAATTGATTTTTAACTTCCATGACTACAGGTGACCTGAAAATTTTGTTTATCATGACAAGCTACCTATTAATATTAACTAATGTCTAACTGCATGCTGTATTTTTCTCCTGTATACATTCCAACATAAAACTTGGTGTAAAATGAGAATCTACTGAAGATAGACGCTGAGCAGGCAGTGGGATGTGGTCTCCGACTGTGGTCAGAGTGGATGGGGATTCAGTGCTTGGAGAATCCAGGAAAGGACCATGTGGCTCCTCAGCAGCTCCCTGCAGTGGGAAGGATTCAGAGGGGAGAAGCGGAGAGGAGGCGGGCTGTAGAAATTATGGGGTGGGAGAGGGAAATGGAAGGATTGAGATGTTCAGCACAAGGTGCAGAGGGGAAGAACAGGACAGAGGAGGGGGCACCAGGGTGAGGCTCTGCAGTCACTTGGAGACGGTGGCAGGAACAGAGCAGCTGCTGCAGGAGAGGAAGGTGGGTAGGGAGGAAGGAAACCATTCCACTGACCTGTTCCCTGTGGGGCAGCAGCAGGCAAAGGGGTCTGTGCAGATCAGCGGCGCTTCCTGGTACCTCTTGCTGCTTTGGGATCCGTGTCCTAAAGCGGCTCCTGCCAGGTCAGTGACATGAAGGAGAAAGTGCCCAGATCACCAGGAGCTCCCCACTCCCATCTTGCCAGCTGATCTCTGTTCCCTATCCCAGTGCTGCCTGCAAGGCTTGGTGGGGTCATAGGGCAGATGGAAGTTGTTTGCAACTTTGGGTACGTCAGAGCTCCACTCCCTCAGAGGTATTTGTCTTGGTTTTTTTTTTCTTTGTCACAAAGGAATTGGCTTTGTCAAAGGCTCCAAATGAAATATTTTGCAAATGGCTCCTCATTTCCTTTTGATTAGAAACATTCCTTCCCTGCAGAATGTCCCATTCTCCGACTGCTTTCCCTCTCCCAAAAGGTTTCTACAACTCCTTGTTTCTCTTCCCTGAGGGATCAGTGGCCCTCCAGCAGCAGAGGGATGCAGGTGGCACTGGTTGCACTGGAGTGCTGGCAATGCTGGCAGTGCTGTTGAGGCATCTGAGTGCTTCTCAGAAAGAGCTCCTGTTCTGGAAAGAGTTCTGACATCTTTGACAAAACCTGGGCCCAAAGCACCACAAATGAGACAAGAATTCACATTTTTGTCATCCTACCACAGGCTTATATAGCCCAAGGGAAGGACAGCACTCAGTTGCTTGCAGCCAGGTCATCAGCACTTAGAACCCACCCTAATTACTGCCAATCCCCTTGATGATGCAATGAAAGTGATTAGGGACCAGATTTTGGGGTGCTGTGATCCTCTTTCCAGCCCTTCATTAGAGCTCATCCTCCTCCCCCTCAGACATGGGAGCTCTTGTGTTTGTTTTTACCTGACCCCATCACTCAGGGCAACCTGTGCCAAGGGCTCACCATTCTCACAGGGAAGGATTTCTTCCCAATATCCAATCTGACCCCACCCTCTGTCAGTGGGAAGCCATTCCCCCTTATCCTGTCACTCCATGCCCATGTACAAAGTCCTGTCTCTGCCTCTCCTGGAGCCTCATTATCTCCTGGATCATGGAGTGTTTGCCCTTGAAAGGATCAGGCTGCTGGGAACTATGAGATTCCATAGCTGGGGACACAAATGTGGTGTCAGCAGGGAAGAGTGGCTACAGCTCTGGTCCCAGGGCCAGAAGATACCAGGAGGAGCATCCCAAATCCCTAAGGTACCTGTCAGTCTGGGTAGGAATCATCTCACCTCCGCTTTCTAGGAATTCTTTGGAATTCACTGTAGGCTGCTGTCTGAATGCCAAGGGAGTGTGGAAGATGACTCAGAGGAAACCTGCAACTTTCTAAGGATTAAAACCAAGAGAGCAGCATGGATTTGCCTCTTCTCAGAAGAAATGACATTGCTGAAATCCTGAATCATCCCTCTGCTGTGTGCCTGTACTCCATCTCAAGCACAGAATTGATTATTGCATGAATCCTCTTGGAAACTGTGTGGTGAAAGTCCAGTACCACTGAAATTGTGGTATACAAGTGGCAAAATTAGATTTGAAATGGAAATCATAGATTTGTCCTGCAGAATCCTAAAAGTCCACCTGTGGAAGGCAAGGTGGCGATTTGAGCCTGTTCAAAGACAAGATTTCAGGATTAGGGCTGCCAAGAGGAGCCTGCCACAGAGACAAACTACTTTTCCTAGAAGGAATGAGGAGCTCTTGGAACTGTCAACAGATGGCTCATTCCAGACAATGCAGGCACCAGACTTAGGAAGAGCTCTGGTGTGAGACAGGTACCTGCCCTCCTTATAGACAATCCAGAGGCTTTAGAATGGGAAAAACTAAGGAAATGAGCCAGTTTCTGACGCTGTTTCCCAGGGACAAGCTCAGCAGCAAATCCCTGATTTTGTTTATTTAACAAAATCTATGGCAGGAGTTACCACATTGAAAAGAAACAAAAGGAAAAAACCCAAATCTGATTTAGGGGTAGTAACAAAATGAAAAAGATCAGTACATCAGAGTTTATTCCTGGGGGCCAAGACAATGAAAGTCATTCCAAGGGGAATACAGGAACAGGAGTGAGCTCAGAGCCATGTGCTCCAGTACATTTGCTGCCTCTGAGGTGCCACACCTCTGGATGCCACATGCCCAGAAGTGCCTCACAGAGCTGTCACCTCCACCACAGTGTCCCCAGGGCCGTGGCTCCCCTCGTCACTCCCGGCTTTCTCCTCAAACACCCTCCGCAGAGCGACTCTGACGGAGCGCTGGAAGCGGCGCCGCCGGCAGCTCCCCACCAGCACGTAAATCACCGGGTTGAGGGTGCAGTTCAGCAATGCCAGCAAAAAAGAGGGGTCTTCTGGGAATAAATCACCAGAATCAGGGAGATTGAGGAAAACCTCCACGCAGAAAGGGATGCCAAAGGCAAAGAACAGCAGGACGTTGAGCAGGATGGCCACAAAGAGCTTCCCTGGCTGCCGCCTCCGGGAGCCGCAGCGCAGCTTGAGCAGCAGGAACAGGTTGGAAACCAACATCATGAGGGAAAAAACCACGGAAATGGCGAGGGCTACACCTGCAAGGGCGGTCTCAGAGCCCTCAGTGTAGGTGCAGGTGAGGTAGAGGGAGGAAACAAAAGCCCCGGCGAGGGCCCAGAGGGCCCCGCTGACGACGCCCGAGAGGTGCCGGGGGCGGTGGCAGCGGTACCAGATGGGGCAGAGGACGGAGACGCAGCGCTCCACGCTGAGGGCTGCCAGCAGCCCCAGGCTGCTCAGGTCAAACAGGTGGCACGGGAACCCAAGGACAAACACAAAATGCCGATAGTGATGGACAAAAGGAAGCAAAGAAGTGCAAAATGCTGCTACGGACAGAAAAGCCAACAGAAGCAGGAGAAACAGGAGGAGCAGGGAGAAGTCAGCAACAGCCAGATTTAGGATGTAGACAGTGAAAGGGCTCTGCTTTGTGTGGAAGCCCAGGAACCACAAGACCATCCCATTCCCTGCCAGCCCACACAGGGAAATCCCCAGGCACACCCCTGCAAAGGCAATCAGGCTGTAGGGAATGCTGGAGCATTCCAATCTGATAAATTCCTCCCAATCCAGAGATCCGTAAAAGGTGTTGTTCAGGTTGAGGTTTGTTGTGCTGTTCTCCTCCATGGTGAATGATCCTGCTCCCAGCAGCTTCTCCCTTTCCCACCACCTCCTAGGGAGAGATGGGGAACCAGAGGGAAATAAGGGACGTCAGCATTCCCAGCATTTCCCATCTGTCCACACAGCCCCACACCAGCCCCAGGAAGAACCCCCACCCCTACAGTGCCCAGGACAGGCTCCCAGCCCTCCAGCCCTGACCCTGGACAGGAATCTCCCACCAGGCCATCCCTGGACTCCTACCTCCAGTAGGAATAGCGCTGACACAGCAGCACCAGGAGAAAGGATTTGGGGATGGCTGCTGGAACCACTGGCCATCAGTGCTTCAGCCTCAGCCCTCGTGCCTGGGTGCAGCCCTTGGCCCAGAGATCACATCCCATGGTCAGAGCTCCCCTCACAATCTCCCCACATCAGTGACAGCTTCCCCTCACATGTCCCAGGGACACAGATCTTATCAGGAGGAGGTGGCCACATCACCCCCTTCCTCTCCTCCCCTCAGTTCTTCCTGAGGAGCTGCTGATCTGTTATGATCCCATTAATGCAGGCACTCAGACTTTCGAATTTTAAACATAATTTACTGGATCTAAAACAATGAAAATGAAAGATTTTCAGCACAGATAGTGTTCTGTCCCTTTAGGTGCTGGGAATCCTGGGTCAAACCCTACTCTGGTGAGGGCAGATCCTGTCCATGGAATGGGTACTCCATTATGATCCGTTCAGCTATTACTGGGTTTTCTGAATCCCTCAGAAATTCCAGACCTCATGAGATGCCAATAGAGCCCCTGAGCAGCAGCCATGGGGATGAGCACTCTTTGTATCCAGTTGCTGTGGGAAATCACCAGTGCCCAGACATGGGACTGCACGAGGGCTTTGCCCACAGCCTCTAATCCCATCCTGTCTAATCCCAGTCATCAGCCCAATCACCCCTGCTGGGCATGTGTCTCCTCAGAGATTAGGTTTGTGCGGTACATGGTGCTACCAGAGCACTCGTATCTCCAAGTGGTTCCTGCCACACAACCTCAGCCTTTCACAGCACGGGGACTGGCATTTTTTTGCTTACTTTCTGCCTCTCTTTCATGTGTTTTCCATCTCCTTTGGAGTTGTATCCTGTGCTTGTCATCCCCAGAACGGATGGATGTGTTAATGCACAAGGTCCATGTGCTCTCCAGGGTGTCCAGCCTGGAGCTTCAGGATTTGGAACCAGAGGAAGACTTGAAACAAGGAGAGAACTTAGGCTCAGCATCCATCCATGAGAGGGAGATGGAACAAGTGCAAATCCTGGAAGTTTCTCCCAGAGGGAAGTTGGAAAAAGTCTTTGAGCACGAGTTACATGTCAATAAAGACACTGAGCAACTCGTGCTGTTGCGTGTCAGCACATCAGTGATTTCTCACTCCTGAAGGTCTCTGGCTTATCTCTGTCACCCCTCTGCCATCATCCATCCCTGGGAATGATTTATATCCCCTTCTGCATTGATGCATGGACTACCGGGCACACGCAGAGAAAGCCAGAAGCCCCTTGCAGGGTGGGATGGCAATGGAGAGTGGCCCGGGAGTGACGAGGGGAGCCACGGCCCTGGGGACACTGTGGTGGAGGTGACAGCTCTGTGAGGCACTTCTGAGGCACTTCTGGACACGTGGCACCTCAGAGACAGCCTGAAGTATGGAGACAAGGGCACTCCAAGCAGTGTAGCCAGGCTCGATCCAGTTCCCCAGCTGTGTTTGTTCCCCATGGAAGTACCCTCGCTGCCACATCCGTTGGGAATAAACTCTGTTGATGAAGCAAAGTCTGCAAAAATGGGCAGAGCAAGGGGTGTTGGCTTGGGCATGGTGGGATTTGGGGTGTAATGGGGTAAGACATGGGTGAAAATTACAGTTTGGGGAAAAGGGAGAGGAAAAAGAAAGAGAGAGAAAGGGGAAAGGGAGAAAGGAGGACAATGAGAGAAAAACAAAGAAAAAAATACAAGTAAAAAGGAAACTAAGCAAGAGAATGAATGGGAAAGAAACAGAAAAAATAACAATGTACGTGAGAAAGTAAAAAATAAAGATTGAGAATGACAAAGAATTCACTTGGACAGGACAGATGAAGAAGGATATCCCCGGTGTGTTAAATCCCCATAAATAGTTGGGAGCTGGTCCTGCTTCCTCTGGAGTCATTGGAGGAAATGTTGTTCACATAAGCACAGCAGTGTTATACCAAAAACCATCTGGAATTAGCTGTTGTGAAATAAACTTGGCTTTTCTGTCCTTTTTCAGTAGACACTGACTGGAAGGTTCTTCCTGTGCCTTAAATTTAAAAAAAAATTATTTATCTGAGTTTACATTCCATGTGTTTTTATCAGCTGATAAATCAGGTAACAACAAAAACAACAACAACTTTAAATACTATTTTTATCCCTTTGGGAAAAAACAAAACAACAACAAAAAAGAGAATTCTGGTCTTTTTACCAACACAAAAATGTTTTGTTTGTCCCAATGATAAAAACATTTGAGACATCAAAAAGGGAATATTTTGGACATAATTTGTGAGTTTCTTCAAAGAAAATTACCCATATTGACTTTTTCTAATAATTTTGGTTAAAAGAATAAATGTTAGGTGGTCTGATAGAACAAATAATCCCGTTTTGCCCTTCAAAGGATTTGGTTTAGAGAATACTTTGTTGAAAATCATTTCAAACAGAACAAGGTATTTATTTACCTTGTTCTGTTTCCTGTATTTTTCCCACTATCCTTTGATTTATTTCTATTGGTAAAGGAGATTTAAAAGCCATGGATTCTGATGTGTCCTTTTAAAGGAAGAAATTACACCCCAATGCATGATGTAGATAAACGCAGAGACTCTGCCAAGGGCTGGAGGAAATTCAAATAACATGAAATAATATAATAAAATACTAATCTCCAGTCATGTATTTCTTTGAAATACAAGACAAGTGAGGATGAAACTCAGTGAATAAATTTTTAAAGCAAGCTGGAAGGAGTTGAAGCCCTCTTCTGCTCTGTGGTGTGGAAACATCCCTGGTTCAGAGAATAAATAGACTTGGTGGATGTGAATCTTTCCACTCCTTGAAATGCTCACATTAGGAAGCCCAGAATGGCTCTGTGAGCCACAAAAGACTGTGTCTGTGCTCTGACATGGGATGGGAGTTCTAAGTTAAGAGGGATAGATGGATTCTCCTTCCAGGAATTTTATGTCTGCTTCCAACAGGAGGATTGTTGGTACCGATTTAATTTTCAGAGATCTGAGTGAAAAGCAACACAGAATTTATGAGTTTATGAACAACAAGGATTTATCCTGAGCAGGATTTCTTTGATGAAATTCAGACACCAAGACATTTCAGCCTTATCAAATTAATATTATTTAGTAGTCATTGGAAAAAAACAGGCAATTTTAATGTGTCCTACATACAGGTCAGGTAAATCCTATGGTCCAGCTGCTTCTGTGCCATATGGGGCACTTAAAATAACCCAAAGGGGGTCTTAAAAGAATGGGAACTTAAAATAATGACCTAAAATATCTACAAAGAGGGTACTGAGGGTCAGGTGAGGTGAACCTTCCCCAGTACCTCAGAGTTCCTCAGTTCTGCCAAACATTCCAGGCAGGGCTTTAGGAGGACATGGTTATCGTGTCCCGCGTTTCCCGCTCATCTCTGTCATCTGCTGAGTCTTGGAAGGCCCTCTGGAATGCCAGCCTGAGGGTAAGCCTGAATTTCCGATCCCTGTAGCTTCCCACCAGGAAGTAAATGACGGGGTTGAGGGTGCTGTTGACGCAGGACAGCACAAAGCCAATCTCTGGGGAATACAGGAACTTGAGGCCCAGGAAGTCCAGGAGGATGAGGACACTGAGGGGCACGGCGAAAATGAGGAAGAGGAGGATGGTGAGCATGATGACGGTGAAGAGCCGGCCCGTTTGGAAGGGCTGGGAGCTGCACTTGACCCGCAGGAAGAGGGTGAGGCTGAAGAGCAGCATGAGGGGCGCGCAGACGAGGAAATCCAAGGCTCCGATGGCGATGAGCAGGCGCTGGCAGACCCTGGGAGAGGGGCGAACGGTGCACAGAACATATCCCAGCGTGTTCAGGAGCAGGGACAGGGCCCAGAGCAGGCCGGACACCACGGCAGACAGGTGCTTCGGACGGTGCGTCCGGCACCAGATGGGGGACAGCACGGACAGGCAGCGCTCAATGCTGATGGCCGTCAGCAGGTACAGGCCCGTGCCGTACATGAAGAGATCCAGGAAGAGGAATATCCCAAACTGCACCCCCACGTTGAACTGCATCAGGTACTGCACGGTCTCCACGGCGATGCACAGCAGGTACCCGAAGTCGGCGGCCGCCAGGTTCAGGATGTAGACGGTGAAGTGGTTCCTGCGGATGCGGAAGCCCAGGTACCACAGGACCAGGCCGTTCCCCACCATCCCACAGGCAGCACTCAGCAGGCAGAAGCTCTCCATGAACTTGAGGACAGTGTAGGATGGCTCGGGTTGTCCCACAGCCCCGCTGTGGTTGGTCCCAGGAGCATGGATGGCTGTGGTTGGAAGGATGATTGGTGGGGTTGAGGGTCTCATAATGGGTGCTTCAGACCTAGGAGCAAAAAGGGGAGAGGTGGTAACTCCAAAGTGACTTTTCTAGAGGGGCTCCTTGGTTTGTTCCAGGGCTATGTAGCTAGAACTTGATTTCATGGAACCTCAAAATAAATTGGTTTGGAAGGGACCAAGAGCCTACAGTAATAGGACACAGGATAAAAGCTTCACACTGACAGAGTGTGGGTTTAGATGGGATATTGGGAATAAATTCTTCCCTGGAGGGTGGTGAAGCTCTAGCCCAGAGAAACTGTGGCTGCCCCATCTGTGGAGGTGTCCAAAGCCAGGCTGGAGCACCCTGGGATAGTGGAAGGTGTCCCTGTCCATTGGAGGGGGTTGGAACTGGATGATCTTTAAGGTCCCTTCCAGCCCAAAGCACTCTGGAATTCTGTGATTCCTTGAGAACAACTGGTAGTTTTTTATATTGTTGAGTGATTTCTGTTTTAATAAAGTGCCATTTGATGTGGTTCTCCTGGGTCCCATGTACAGTAACAAATAAACATTTTGGTGTGGCAGAGCCCTCAGCTTCTCCCTCAGAAGCTGCAAGAACCACATGTAAGAAACCACAGATTATCTCGTCCTCACAGGACATGGGAGTTGTGGCTCTGATAACTTTTCCACACCACTCCATGGGTTAAGTCACTGTTTCCTTCCCTGTGGTACTGAAGTCAGAGAATCTTGGGGGTGAAAAAAATGGGTTTAACACCTTTTTTATGGTCTGATGAGAACAAATACAGTGGTTCTTCTGCTGTCTCCCAACCAGCTGTTAATTTGGACATGGAAGGCAGAGAAGTTAAAAAGAGGATAGGAACAAAAGATGGGGATTTCTGGGAAGATGTGAATCACTGACCCATGTAGCCAGCATGAATCCTCTGTTCTCTCTTTGTGGTGCAGCAGCACACATGGAGACAGACTTCCAAAAGCACCCAGAACATGACAGACTGAATCACTGCTGCTCCATCCCAGCACCCCAGGCACACTGACCCCATGGACAGAGGGAAAAGAAGTGTTTAGTGCAGGGAATTTCAAGCCCAGGGAGGATGAGGCTTGGAGCAACCTGGGCTAGTGGAAGGTGTCCCTGCCCATGCCAGGGCGTGAGACTGGATGGGCTTTTCAGCCCAAATTATTTGAAAATTCTATGATTTTCTTTAGGGTTGATTGAAACCAGGGAACTTCTGGCACTGCAGAGCTGGATGATCCCATCCTCAGCTTTTATGGCACCTTGAGCACTTCTAACATGAACACTGTGGAGAGCAGCCCTGAGGCTGTTCCTCCCTTACAGCCTGCTCCAGGGGTGGCCAGAAATGATCACATTTTTTCGGAAATTAGCAGAAACAGCCTCGAGTTTTGTGAAGCTTTTCTGCTGCGAGAACAGAGGAAAGCCCGGTGGTTTAGTGGTTTCCTGAGTTCTGTGCAACCAAATTTCCTCTCGATCTGAAGAGAGTGTGAATATTTATTGTCACCTAAGTTCTGTCTCAGCCCACTGCAGCCTCCACAGGTGCATCTCTCTCCACTGGGGATTGAGGGAATGACAGGTGATAATTCCCAATGTTAAATGGCTTTGTGCCATTGATCATCTAATAGAATCATGGAATGGTTTGGGTTGGGAGGGATCTTAAAGCTCATCTTGCTCCAACCTCCTGCCACAGCCAGGGACACCTTCCAGAGACCAGGTTGTTCCAAATCCCTGCCAACCTGGGCTCGGACACTTGCAGGAATAATGCAGCCACAGCTCCTCTGGGCAGCCTGTGCCTCACCACCCTCACAGAGAAGAACTTCCTCCCAAGATCTAATTCAAATCCACCGTCTTCCAGTTTAAAACAATTCCCCTTTGTCCTGTCATTCCAGGCCCTTCTCCAAAGTCCCTCTCCAGCTGTCTTGGAGCACCTTTAGGCACTGGAAGGTGCTGCATGTACATAAAGACTGCCAGGAACAGAAATGGCTGCAACGGGTAAATGACAAAACAGCAATAGTTTTGCCTTCTGCTGTAACAGAAGTGATTAAATCCTTCTCTTACTTCTGCAGACCGTGGAGAAGAACACTGCAAAAGTCACTCATGATTCTCATTTATTTATCATAGTCCCTTGGAAAGACTGAATTCCTGTTTCCAAGACACATTCAAGACGTGATTCCACTTCCTTATGTAACTAATAAGTGAAAACTCTCCTCAAACAGCAGCAGCCTGAGTCCAGGTGATAATTTTCGTCATTGAGATTAAACATCCTCCATGTGATTTGCCTGCAAATCCTGCCTGTAGTTCCTGAGGCAGAACAACCCTGACCCCACAAAGGTGTCTCAGACAGTGGACAGAAAGTTCTGCTGCTGTAATGCCAGGTCTCTGAGTAATGATTTTTATATTACAGAGGTGCATTTAGAGCAGTTCAAGAGCACTTGTACAGGGACAAGAGTCCCTGGAATGAAGCCTTCCTTATATTGAAAATGATATCATCAATTCCTGACCTACAGCAAATTTCTGTCCAGCAAAGGAAGTAAATTTTTCATCTTTTTTCCTCCATTGTTTTTGTTTCTCCTTCCTTCCCCAAAGCCTGACAGACCATCAGTGTGCAACGTCAAAGACTCACCTGAGAATTTCTCACCTTTTTTGCGTTCCTGGGAATTTCAGTGCCTGTGCCAAGCAATGTTTTCCCCTGGATGGTGTGACATAGGGTGCAGCTCGAGTCCTTGTGTCATCCTGCAGTGCTGGGCTGGGCAGCCACTGTTTAAAAAGCCATGGTGTTTTCTGCGTGACCCTCCAGGCAGCCAATCACTCATGGGGGAAATGTATGTGGGTATGATCACTAAGATCTGAACCACTTCTCCCTCCCCTCTCTGCAGTGTCACGGAAACACTATTTTTTTACTACTTCTCCCTTCTTTAGCCATTCTTGCAAGAACTGTCCATACAGACTTGGCATTGGTGTTGTGTCCTACTTGAGGCCCTGAGATGATCGGGTTTCACAGCCCCTGAAGGTGAGGTTTTAGTGCTGCTCAGGTAGAGAAATTTTAAGTTCTCTCCCATAAGATCTTTGCTGGAGGTTTCACAACCTCCCTCAGCACTTCTCATTCCCTCCTGTCCCTCCCTACTTGTCACACACCCACCACCACAGTGGGTCCTCCTCTGACCCACAGCCTCTCCCAGCACAGTCCAGCACCTTATGGCATGTCTACTGCTTCATCCAACCTTGCACCCAAACCTTCCACCTCAGCAGTTCCAGATGCCCAAACCCTGCTTGTGCTGCCCTCAGCATGGAGCTCTGGGGTCAGGAGCTCTTTCAGTGCACCTTCACACCCCACAGGCTTTCAGCACACTCCTTCAACACCTCAGGCACTTCTGATTTCACAAAATCCCTCCAGCCCCATGCCTTTCACTTCCAGTTTCACAACTTCCCCCTGAACAGAGCTTCAGGCTCTTCCTCGCCTTGCGTCTCCTAAAGACAGAACCCAGTACCACCCACCCACAACATCCCAGCCCTGTCCATGCACACTCCATGTCCACGAGCCACCCCGATCCAAAGGGTGTGGAAACAGAGAAAACACCTTTCTCCTTTCCTGACATCCTCACAGGGAGCTATTTTGTCCCTTAGTCCCTTGTGCCAGGGAAGTAAAGGGACAGGAGTGTGACGCCACCCAAATAGCTGCCGTGTGTGTCAGTGGGCACAGGAACAGGCAGATCCAGCCCAAATTTGCTTAGCAGGTCAGAAATGCATTGGTACATCTTCAGCTTCTGTTGTCATCTGTTCTTCCTCTTCCTTTCCCAAAGATTGTAAGACTGTTTTTCCTTTCTTACCCAATCCTATTTCCTATAGTGGTTGCTGGCAACACTCATTAACCTGACCAGGACTCCAGGCTATGGCATAAAATGATATCTAAATTAAAATACTATTTTTATCCAGAGCACTATTTAAACTCCTCATTAATTTGAGGGTTTCCATTTTCTCTGCATGAATTGCTGGCATTCCATGTTGGGAGACATTCCAAATGCCTTTGTTGTTATTGGGCCAGTCTGAATTTCAGTAAATGTCAGCAAAACAGAGGGATGGGCAGTGGATGAAACTATTTATTGATGCACCTAAATCTCAAGCTGAAAATACACAGTAAACCTCAGAGCAGAGACGAGTTGGAGCTGCAGTAATACACAAATTCATTTAATTCTGGTATGGTTTGGGTTGGAAGGGACTTTAAAGCTCATCCAGTTCCAACCCCAGCCACAGGCAGGGACACCTTACACTATCCCAGGGTGCTCCAACCTGTCCTGGAACACTTCCAGGGATGGGGCAGCCACAGCTTCTCTGGGCAACCTGTGCCAGGGCCTCAGCACCCTCACAGGGAAAAATTTATTCCCAATATCCCACCTAAACCCACCTTCTGTCATTTAAAGCCATTTCCCCTTACTGATTAGGTGACTAGATCCATTTCTTTCCAGAGGAAAGCCTGGAGTGGCAAAGGCTTAACTCAGCTGACTTCCAGAGATGTACAAGAGCTGACTTCCTCCCCTCCCTTAATTTCCCAATTTGTAAAATAAGGATTTTTTTTTTTTTTTACTTACTCTACTTCACTGACCTTTGCTGAAACATTGCAAGTTCTTGCAAAAGGCCTTTTTCCCTGGGTTACCAGTGATTAAATTTCATGGAAAATACAGACTTGGAGGGTCATCCAGAAGTGACCCAAGCCACCCTATATCTCTCTTCTACTTAGTACTAGAAACCTTTCAGATTATTTTTCTTTTTTTCATGAGGGCTTGTGGAGGTTTTTTTGGGGAAACACAATGATTTAAAATTCCTCACAATTTTATTATTACTCACAGTGCCATAAAGCCTAAGCTGTGGATCTAAGGTTTGGGAAACACACAAAGCATGGATTAATGTCAGAGTCTGGGAATGTTAACTTGACCAGGCACATCACATGCTTGCCAAATTTAATATTCAGCTAATCTATTGGCTGTTACTTCCAAGAATCATGGAATTGTTAAGGCTGGAGAAGCCCTCCAAGGTCATAGAGTCCAACCATTCCCCAGCAGTGCCACCACTAATGTGTGTCCCCAAGTGCCACATCCACAGGTTTTAAATCCCTCCAGACTGATGGTGACTGCACCACTGCTCTTGGTAAACTGTGCCAGGGCTGCACCACCCTGTGAGTGAAGAAATTTTTCCTAAAATCCAATCTAAACTTCCTTTCTAAACTGGCAGGATGGGATTAATTTCTTCTCCTTCCCACCCCTGAGCATTCACACCTCCCTCCTCCAGCCCAAGAGCTCTTGAGCTGGGAGATTTCCTTGGAGAGGGTGGAGTAGGTCTCTGTAAACAGGGAATTCAGCCCTGGAGGAGGCAGATTTCCTTGGAGAGGTTTGAGGAAAGTTACTTAAACAGTTTCTTTCCCTCTGCTTGCTGGGCTGTCTGTGCACACTTCAGTGCCCATGTTCCCTCCAAGCAGCTCTAACATGGGCAGGAAAAGCCAGGACACACTTGGTGATAAAGGAAAGCAAGGAATTAAATGAGGTGGGATTAAAAAAGGCAGCTCCTAAGCAAGTGTTGGAAGCTTTTCAGAAGCTGTTCTATGTTCTTTAAAGCCTCTGCCAGGAAAGGGAGATGTTGGGGACATAAAATCTCACAGCTCTTGCACAAAAATTAGATCTCCAAACACAGAGAAGGTAAGTTTTCCAGGATCTTTCACTTTCCTCTTTTCTTTCATTATCCTGATTTCCTTTTCTCTTTTCCCCCCCCTCTGCCCTTCCTCTTGACAATGGTGAAAATGCAAAGAGAAATTTCCCCTGAAGTTCTCAACCACCTCTGTCTCTCTTTGGCTGTAACCATGTGCAGAACTGGTTTTCCAGTCCCAAATCAGGTTATTGAATTCTTCAATTAACTACCTGTGATTTTGGGGGGAAACCCTTGCAGTAAGAGGATGGTGCAATCCTTATCTTTTTGTTTTTTAAATTATAACAGTCCACATTGTATTTATTTCGTATTCCAACTGATTGCAGTATATCATGTACCTCTAGTCAGTGACTGAAAAGATTATTTTAGAGGTAAGACCTCCCTTTTATCCCCTTCCTTGAGTATGTTTTACCTCCTGTCAGTAAAACTGCAAGCACAGGAAAAGTCACAAACTTTCCCAACTTCCTCTTTAGGCTTCACTTTTTCAAGTTGGAGAGCAATTTTCGTTTTTCTACATTTCAGCATTTCCTGTGGGTGCTTGATCAGCTTTTTGCCTCTACAGGAGTTTCTGATCTTGCTCTATTTTAAAATCATAAAATAGGAGCCTGGATCAGATGGATCCAATCCCAAAGGGATCCAGTGGGTGGCATCCCTGCCCATGGAAGTGGGGTTGGAACTAGATGGTCTCTAAAGTCCCTTGCAACCCAAATGATTCCAGAAGTCTATGATTCTACGGCTGTGTCTCATACAAGGCAAACTAAATATGTAGAGGGGGAAGAACAACAAAAAACCAAACAAAAAACACAACAAATTTTAAAAGCACTTGATAAACTTAATTCTAATCCTATGTATTTCTAAGAGAGAATGCACTTCTGATAAAGAATTTTTAAGAATGAAAAAAACTGATGAATCATTTTGTCTTTAACTTTCCATATTTCCAGGCTCTGTACTGCACATTGCCCAGTAGATTGGCACAGAACACTCCAGGAGCATGAAGGAATTCATCCTCCTGGGCCTCTCAGAGAACCAAGGGGTGAAGAAAATATATTTTGTGGTGTTCCTGCTTTTCTACATGTTCACAGTGGCAGGAAATCTCACAGTTCTCACTGTGATGAGCAGCCGGTGCCTGAACTCCCCCATGTACTTCTTCCTCTGCCACCTTTCCTTTGTAGGTGTTTGTTACTCCTCTGTCACAGCTCCCCAAATGATTTCTGGCTTCCTGGTGGAAAATAACACCATCTCCTTTGCAGGTTGCATAGGGCAGCTCTTGGGGCTTCATTTTTTTGGCTGCACAGAGGTTTTCATCCTGACAGCCGTGGCCTACGACTGCTGCATGGCTGTCTGCCGGCCCCCGCCCGACCCCGCGCTCACGTCCTGCCGCCTCTGCGGCCGCATGGTGGGATCTCCTGGGCGGGGGGATTCCTGCATTCCACCCTCCAGACCCTTCCCACCGCCCTGCTCCCTTTCTGTGGCCCCACTAAAGTCGCCCATTACTTCTGTGATGTCCACCCCCTGCTCCCCTGGCCTGTGCCGAGGGCCTGGCCGCGCTGGCCAACAGCGGGGTCATATCCCGGAGCTGCTTCCTCATCCTGGTCACGTCCTGCGTGGTCATCCTGGTTTCCCTGAAGGGCCAAACGCTGGCGAGGTGGCACAAGGCCCTGTCCACGTGTGGGTCCCTCATCACTGCGGTGATCCTGTGCCTTGGGCCCAGCACATTTGTTTACATCCACCCATCCAGTGGCTTGTCCAAGGACAGGAGCGCGGCCATGTTCTACATGCCCATCACACCCATGCTCAACCCCCTCATCTGCCCCCTCCGGGATGGGGAGGTGAAGGGAGCCATGAGGAAACTGTGCAGGGGGGAAGTGGGAAGCAGAAATGGGAAGGGGTAGGGCTGTGGTCATGTTGCCAAAGGATCAGAGGAAATCAAGCATGTTTTGCTGTAATTTCTTCTGTGACAATGCCCCAAAATGGGCCTTCTGAAGAACAGCTGCCTGTAGGCTTTGCTGTAATTAAGAAGGCACTAAAAGTTCTTTGTGTATGGGAAAGACATTGGGAACTCTGGCATTCCCTTCCTATTCCTTGTCAAAGAGCACAGGCCCACACCAAGGCCTCCTGAGCAGCTGCAACATCAGTGCTTAAATACAGTCAAAAATACTGAAAACATTGTCCAGGTAGAACACTCCATAAGAAACAAAAAAACAAATAAGCCCTGATAATAAGAGTTAGTTGGGTGGTTTGCTGATGAAGGAACAGGAGGGGAAACTTCTCCCCTTCCTCTCCCACTTCAGCAAATCTTTTCTGCCCTGTTCCAGGTCAGGCTGGATGGGGCCTGGAGCAACCTTGTCTGGTGAAAGGTGTCCCTGCCCATGGCAGGGAGTTGGAATGAAATGGTCTTTAAAGTACCTTCCAACCCAAACAGCTATTCTGCAATTCCGTAATTATCCTATAATTCTATCTACTTCACCTATCTCTGCCCAAGACAGCAGTAAATAAAATAAATGTATTTTTAAATGCTTTTGAGGTGAGCAACAGTGGGGTTTTTTAGAGGTCTCTCTTCTGGGTGCTGCTGAGCAAATATTCACCCATAGCTTATGGAAGGTGTCACTGGAAACAGTGTCAGGCTCCTCGACACTTTGCAAAGAATTCTTACAGGAATTTCGTACTTGAGCTCAAAAGTTGCTTCTGTGCTTTACTGTGTCAGTAAAAATACCTGCTGAGCAAGGAAGGCTCACCACAAATTTTTGTGCATTTTTTGAAGCAATTTCCTGAGTTACTTCTTCTTTTAAAGTTGTAAGTCAGGTGTCTAAGGGATAACACCAGTGATATTTTTGCTTTGTGCTGTCAACGTGTAAGTTAGTAAGAAATAAGACTGTAGGTGAGAAATACTGGCTTAGGACAGAAAGCAAAATTTGTATCCATTTACATGAATTTATATAAATGTCCTATGTAAGAGACATCTTTACTCTGGTGTCTCTCTCCAGGGATTACACTAATAACTACCCAAGGAACAATTTTAGCTCCTTGCCCACTGATGACTTCTGACAAAACTACCTTTGCCTCTGGGATCTCATTACTCCTGACAGCCTTGTGCTTCTGTTGTGTGATGTACTTGAACTATTTCTGCTACAGAAATAATTGTACTTGAAGGTGCTCCTGGTTGTTGGTTTTTTTTTTTTTTTTTTTTTTTTTTTGCATAATGGGACATACAGAAGGTTGGGCTGTTCTTTTCAGGGCTTAGAGTTGGCAGAGATACAGAGCTGCTATCACAACTTCTGAGCAGCTCCTTGCAGAGAGTTTCTAATGGAACGGAGAGGTTCTGATGGAACCCCCTGAAGTGGTTTGGGGAGGTCGTCAGAGGAGCGACAGCAAGTGAGCTCTGTGGAAGTGTTCTGGGATTGTTCCTTTGTTTTGCTCAGGCCCCACTGAAATCCTACCTTTGCAAAGCAGCATTGCTGGTGAGTGACTTTTGGGAGGTCTATTTTATGACTTGGAAAAAAAATTAAAAATCAGTTACAGATTTAGAATCCCAGAATGGTTTGGGTTGGAAGGCATCTTAAAGCTCATCTTGTTCTGACCCCCTGCCATGGGCAGGTCCATTGACCAGGCTGCTCAAAGCCCTGTCCAGCTTGGTCTTGAGCACTTTCAGGAATATCACACACTAGTGATCCTGGTGTTCTGCATGGGAATACTGTAAGGGGATTTGTGGGTGTTTGTCAGTAAAGCAGCAACATCTCGTCCACTACCCCAGTGTCACTACAGGTGTATTTATGGGGTGTTCCACACCACAGCCAGGACCTGGGTATTATTTCTTCCACCCTCCTCAGCTAAATAATCAGAACTTGTTATTACACATGCCAGTGACATATTCTGGCTTGGATTTCACTGTTACTCCTTCAGGGAAGCATTGGCTTTAAACTGAAATTGTCTCAAAAAGACAGCAGAAGAAATACAGTGGGTATTCATACCAGAGGACAATGAGCGTGTCCTGTTAATGTCTAATGATTTGGCCTTTTTGATCTTTTAAGGCAGCTTTTTTCAATGCTGTTAGCACCATAGACGTCTGATTTCTTACTTGTAGCCTCCTGCTTGCTGAGTTATAAACTCCTCGGCAGAAATGAGCAGCAAAGGAATTTCCTGGAGGGATTTTAAATGGACACATGCATTCCTCTGCTGCTCCCACTTTAACCTACAAAGTGAGTGTATTTATCTACTGAAAAACTTTAAAAATTCATTTAAAAATATAGAGGTGGAGAAGCCATGCAGAGTTTTGCAGGTTCTGCTGTGTTAGAAACCCCAGTTTCTCCAGTGAGGAGCTTCCCAGACCTGGTTTCTGGAGAGCCCTTTCCTCACTTTAGAGGAGCGTCATTAGGATGACAACATGGAACAGCTCATGCTTGAGAATGGCAGCATTTGCTTGTAGCCACTTCAAATTTCCAGCAGGTAAAAGGACAGCACAGCATTTTTCCAGCATTAATGGCTCTTGTTATCTAAGAGCAGGATGTGCTGGAATCACCATTCCTGAAGGGATTTAAAAGCAGTATGTCGCACTTGGGGACATGGTTTAGTGGAGGGCTTGGCAGTGCTGGGGGGAGAACTGGGCTCAATGGGGGCTTTTCCAGCTTTAACAATTCCATAATTCTGTGACTTCTTCCTGACAGAATATGAGCACACCAACCATGATGCAGGCAAATAGTGGTCAGAGTGAGTTCAGAGGAGAAGGTCAATGTGGAGGGGCGGGCCAGACACCTGAATAGGGGCAGAAGAGGGGGAAAGTGCAAACTCTTCTTTCTGTCATTTGTGACATGACTCTATGCTTTTTGCAGCAGCAAATGCATCCTGCTCACACCATCCATGAGCCTTGGAGCGGTAGCACATTCCCTTCCCTTCCTGGCCACCTAGCCACCTGTGCCATGGCAGCCTGATCTGCAGCGATGGCACAGGACAACTCCTCCCGGGTGACTGAATTCATCCTCCTGGGGCTTTCTGACAGGGAGGAGCTGCAACTCCTCTTCTTCACCCTCCTCCTCCTGGCCTACGCCATGGTCCTGCTGGGCAATCTCCTCATCATCGTGACGGTCAGGACTGACCCCAAGCTCTCCTCGCCCATGTACTTCCTCCTCTGCAATCTGTCCTTCATCGATATCTGCTACACCTCTGTCACGGCCCCCAGGGTGCTGGTGGCCCTGCTCTCAGGGCACAAGGCCATTGCCTTTGAGGGCTGCATGGCCCAGCTGTTTTTCCTGCACTTTGTGGGCTCCTCGGAGATGTTCCTCCTGACGGTGATGGCGTTCGACCGCTACACGGCCATCTGCAGGCCCCTCCACTACACGGCCATCATGGCCCGTGGGGCCTGCTGGGCGCTGGTCGCTGCCTGCTGGGCTGGGGGCTTTATCCACTCCATGGTCCAGACAGCGCTCATGCTCCAGCTGCCCTTCTGCGGCCCCAACACCATCCACAGCTACTTCTGTGACGCGCCGCCCGTCGTCCGCCTGGCCTGCGCCGACACCGCCCTCACCGAGTGGCTCATGGCCTCCAACAGCGGCCTCATATCCCTGGTCTGCTTCCTGGTGCTGGTGGCCTCCTACGCGCTCATCCTGGCCAAGGTCCGGGCCCGCGTCTCCCAGGGGAAATGGAAGGTGCTGTCCACGTGTGCCTCACACGCGATGGCCGTCACCCTGCTCTTCGTGCCCTGCATCTTCACCTACCTGCGGCCCGCTGGGACCTTGCTCACCAGCAAGTACGTCTCTGTCATCTACACGATCTTCTCACCCATGATGAACCCCCTCATCTACACCCTGAGGAGCAGCGAGGTGAAGGAATCCATGTGGAGACTCGGGAAGCGCTGCAGAGCCTTCTGAGACAGGCTGGGTTGGCAGAACCCTGGAGTTACACCCAGAGTTACACCTGGAGACACATTCCTACTCTACTCCTACACAATAATGACTTAGTGGCTAAAGCCCACAGACTTCAAATTATGTACAAACACATTTCTACACACATATTACTGTTAATATTAAAAATCCATGCTGAAAACCCCGAACTTCCTAAACACTTTCCCTCGTGTGGATCATAATTTTCAAATAAATAAATGAATCCAGGGTGAGGCTTGTCTCCCTCTCTTCACATGCTTTTCCTGTGCTGTGACAGCAGATGGCAGAGGCACATGCACTAAGTGTCCCCAAATTCACCCACCAACACTTTAAGACAGAGACAGCGCAGATTCTGCTTGCAGGGTTTCCTTTAGACATATAAGAATATTTTTAGTCATAATTCTCTCACAGAAGTTAATTATTAAAATCATACAAGGCACAATGTATAGAGGAAGGAGGAGGAGTGGAGATGGCCTCCGGACAAGGACATGGAGGCAGGACAAGAGGGAATGGCTTCACACTGACACAGGGTGTGCTTAAATGGGATAATGGGAAGAAATTCTTCCCTGTGGCGGTCTGGCATGGCTTTCCCATGGCTGCCCTGTCCCTAGAAGTGTTCCAGATCAGCTTGGATGGGGCTTGGAGCAATGGGATAGTGACAGGTGTCCCTGCCCATGGCAGGGGGGTGGAATGGGATTGTCTATAAGGTTCCTTCCAACCCAAACTGCCTCTGTGAGGGCAGCAGTTACATCACCAAATCCATCAGGGACAGAAATTCAGTGGTTGTCATGAGAGGAACACCATCAATTTCTTTGTGTTAGAGTGGTTTAGGATTGGATTCATCCCACCAAAAAAAAATCATGGAATCACTGGGGTGGGAAAAGCCCTCTAAGATCATCAAGTCCAACCAATCCGCAGGGCTACTCAGGCCACCACTACCCATGTCCCCAAGTGCCACATCCTCAGAGCTTTTAAATCCCTTCAGGGTTAGTGACTCTACCACTGCCCTGGGCAGCCTGTTCCAGGGCTGGAAAACACTTCCCATGAAGGAATTTTTCTTAATATCCAATCTAAATTGCTTTCACTTCACAGGAAGTGAAAGGATTTCCACTTTGCCTGTCTCTCCTCACTGTCTTAAATTAGCCCTCACTCCCACACCTGTAGGAAGAGGAGGATCAGAAGCATCAGTGAGTCATTGATCTTCCTGGTTAAGAGATTTCCAAACATCTCCCATCCTTGTGGAAATGAGATTTCTTTTTAATTGTGAATTTCCAGTCAGGATCATCACAGAATGGCTTGGGCTGGAAGGGAGCTTTTTTTTTAGTATTAGAGAAAAATGTTGAAAAATGAAAATGTTCTTTAGGTCAATTAGGGTAAATTTCAATTGAGAAAAAAAAAAAAAGTATCAGTGTGATAATTTTTAAACATTCCAATAAAGCTTTTATAAATATTTTATTTATAAATCAATGCAAGGTAAATTGGAGCTGTGCTCCAGTTATTTTGCTGGTGTCAATTTATTCACCAGGTATAAACTGGCATCAACAGTGAACTGATTTGAAATAATTGCTCCGATTTCGATAAAATAAATAAAAATTTCATATTTTTGGGACTGGGGATTTCAATACATGGGGCTTGGAGCAACCTGATCCAGTGGAATATGTCCCTGCCCATTGCAGGGGGTTGGAATGGGATGAGCTTGAAAGTCCCTTCTAACCCAAACCATTCTATGAAGACAAACAATTTAATATAATTTATTTTTCTCCCCTGGAAACATCTTGGGATGACTTTAACAAGGCCTCAGAAGATGCTGTTAAAAAGTTGGTGCCTGACAAATTGCAAAGGTGCAGCTTGGGCAGCTGAGTTTGTCCCTGTGTGTAAATTGGCTCCACTGCGCACCATTAAAATCCTGAGTTCTTTCCCTCCTGGAAATTATCAGCTCTATGAGCTCATCCTCAGATTTATTGCCTTCACCTAGAGGACAGTGAAAAATGGCCTCAAAGGAAAAAAAAATCCTTTGAGAACTGGCAGGCTCTCTACAATGCTTTTGTTAAATCCCAAGAAGCCTGAAGAGATCCCAGGCTAATCAATTTTATTTAAAGACTATGAGACTGAAACACAAATGGACATCAGAGAAAAGGGAGCATTTTCAAGAGACTCTAATCAGTCTGGGCTCATCATAAGGATTCCTAGATGGAAATCTCAAACAATGACAAAGCAGGGTAATCCCAGAAGTGGACAAAAATCAAATCACTTTGGTTGTATTACAGTGGGGATGGCAGGGAGGAGTGGACAAGAGGGATCTAATCCAGCATGTCATCAATTAGTGCACATCTGGATTCTGCAAATAGAGATATTTTTGTTTTTGTTTGTTTTGAAGGGTTTTTAAAATGAATTTTTATAATAAAATATAATGCAATATAATTTTTATGTATTTACGCCAAGGCAGACTACTTATCTCAAAAACTACCCTGTGTTTCTACTTCAAAATAACCCAGCTAAGATTGTCCCTGCAAATAAGCAACTTAGATGTAGAGTTGAGAGCTTGAGTGACTGGCACCTTGATGAGGCCAATGCATCCCAGCCCAAAAGAAACATTTAAGATTTATGAGGGGATCAGAATCACAGAATTGTTTGCCTTGGAAGGGAGAGGTGAGGGATGGATCTCTTTGCTGTATCTCTTTCTGGCATCTGGGTTTATAACAAAATTCTTTATTGCAAAACTCCATAAGAAGTGTGATGCCTGATGGTCCTTGGGCTAGCTGCAGCACACAGGGAAACCTCTGGGCCCTGGGGATTTATTCCAGTCACAGATCTGCACTCCCATGGCAGGACAGGCCTGTGCTGTGTGACCCTTGGGAAATTCCAGTTTACACAGTCCTGGAATGGTTTGGGTTGAAATGGACCTTAAAGTTCATGTTGTTCCATCCCCTGCCACAGGCAGGGACACCTTCCACTATCCCAGGCTGCTCCAAGCCCCATCCAGCCTGGCCTTGGACACTTCCAAGGATCCAGGGCATCCACAGCTTCCCTGGGCACCCTGTGCCAGGGCCTCACCACCCTCACAGGGGAGAATTTCTTACTAATATCCAATCTAAATCCCTCATCTTTTAGTTTAAAACCATTCCCTCTTGTCCTATCACTGTTTGCCTGTGTAAGATGCAGAATCTTTTAATTTTCCAGGAGTTTGCAAACACAGCAAACAGGTTGGAAGAATGACGGACAGCAAGAATCCTTCATGTGAACAGTGCAGAATTTATGGTCAGGTATTGCTGGAATAGGAACAGGCCTGCTCCCAGTCCTGGGCATCACATGGGGAGTGGCACTCCCATAAATCACACATGGATGCTTAATGGGACCAGGGGGGAATTTTTGTTAGCTCTTCAAAGTAGTGCTGGTAATTTTAGTTCCTTCGATTCCCAGCCCCTTTTGGCAATGATCTGAAAAACCCCTCATCCATGCAATTAAGGGAACATCCAAAAAAACTGTCAGACACACTTGTCCCCAGACACTCCCTCATATTTATAAAACCTCATTAAAGAAGAGAGGTGCTTACTCCTGCAGCCAAGCCAGCCCTTGTGCCAGCGCTGGCAGGTGTCGGTGTGAATATTCCGACGCTGCTCTATCGGGATTCACCTCTTCCTTATGAGTGAAATCATTTCTATGTCACACGTAAAAATAAGAAAAAGGATTGTTTTGTTTCCTGGAGATACAGACAACTATAAATCACCTGTAATTAATTCTGTGCAGCAGTGAGTATTTCTGTGTTGTTTCTGTGCTATTTCACCTGAATGAGCTCCCCATTTAATGAACAAGTGGTGTTCCTTTTATTTCTGCTGAGTTAACTATTTCTTATGTAGTTTAAGCGCTGACTTTGCTCCCTCTCAAGTTTCTGGGAGAACATGAGACTGCAGAGGAGCCTGGCCAGATGAAATATTTCATCAATCTATTTATCTCTGCATCTCTTACAAATGAGAATGTGGTACAATATTCCCACCATCTCAAAATCAATCCCAAAGCCTCCCAAAAAGGAGGCATTTGCATTGAACTTTGCTTTCCCTCCCTCTGGGGCTGGTATGTAAATCCTTACTGTAAATAGTGAGCTACACTCCATGGAGCAGTGTGGGGTAAATGGGAAGATCCTTTAATACCATGTTTGGACTTCTCTGAACTGGGGAAATGAGAAGGGGGAAAGTCCAGAGAGATGCTAGAAGTACTAATGGTATTATGGAAGTCTGTGGGGTAAAATGTATAGAAAACTGGGGGGTCTTTAACGGGATGCCTAATTGTCACTTTTTAATGATAGAATCATAGAATGGTTTGGGTCAGAAAGCACCTTAAAGTTCAGCTGATTCCAGCCCCCTGCCATGGGCAGGGACACCTTCCACTAGACCAGGTTGCTCCAAGCCCCATCCAAAAGCTGGAAAAAAAACCCCAAAACGCATCTACCTGCTGATTATGAGCGATTTAATTATTTTCTGACAGCATTACTCCCTTAAAAAGTAAATTTCAGCTTCTGTTACTAATCTAGACCCTTTTAGTAGTACTAGTAACACTAAGTAATTTATGTTGAAAGGAATTTTAGGAATCTATACCACACTCCCCTTGCTCAGAGAACCTTAAAAGCCCTGTAGTGTTGCCTGGGGCTGTGTCCAAGCTGGATGCCACAGGGAAGGTAACTTCAACTTCCAGCTCTTCAGTCTGAGGTAACAACTTCCAAAAACTAACATTTTGCTTTAATCACTGTGAAGTTTAATACCTACACTTTTCCTTTTGCATTAGGAATATGTGGGTAAAATTTAGATTTTGAGCGCGGCAGTGCTTGGAAATGTTTTTGAACTTCAAAACAGACCCAAAAAAACCTCCTCACAATCTTTAAAACGTGGATGAAATTGTGATTAAGTTACACCTTCTTTATTCCAGGGAAACCTCTGCCCCGTTCCCACAATGAGAGGTAAGACGCAGAGGGTCAACCTCTCAGCAGTATCCGAATTTGTTTTCGTGGGCCTCTCTGATGCTCCAGAAATCTGTTTGCTTCTCTTTGTGCTGTTTCTGCTCATTTATTTGGCCACCGTGGCAGGCAACATCACTCTCCTCGCTGCCATCAGCACCGACTCCCACCTGCACAGCCCCATGTACTTCTTCCTCGGCAACTTATCCCTGCTGGATCTCTTATGTACCAACATCACCGTGCCCAGGATG